TATAAATAAAACTCATCTTAATGCATACGCAATTCACCACAAAAATGAATGTACACTGGCAATTTGTCTACGAGGAAAACGAAAAATAATAATTCAATATTTTGTGGAACGACCTTGAGCGTGAATAACAGCCTCCAGTCTTGCTGGTGTTGATCTTACAAGCTTCCGTGTAAACTCAGGCACGGTTTTCTTTCTTCAGCGAGGACCCTCGCAAACTATTGGTAATTTGAAACTTTATGCTTCAGCGCACGTTCTTCCAATTCCAACTACAAGTTCTCAATACGGTTGATATCGGGAAACTGCCGCCGGCGTTTCAAGGCGCTTTGGAACATTATATAGCAACAATAACTTCACAATATGAGCTGTGTGGAAGGGCGCGTTGTCGTGCTGAAAGTAGTATGTCAGCCCCAGTCGAAGAATCACCGCACTTTGTTTGACATTACTTTCTAACACATAAATATCCAAATTTATCAACTGTGGAATCAACAAAATGGAGATTCCCGACACCTGACGCACACATTCAGCTAAACACCATAACGAAGACCCCGCCGAGCTTCACGCAATGTTTTTCTTCTTCTAAGGCTGCGTTAACCTTCCTCCATAGTGCAAATGGCCCGATTAACCGAGGCAATCATTAGAACAAACAACATCCTAACTCACTGAATTGGCGATGACGTTAGTGATTTTTGGAATGTCAGGGCTTCCCTCAATCCACTAATCATTGGAACTCCTCGCTTAACATTCACTGTCATTCGTCATTGACACACTCAGTTGTAGTTGTCCCTCAATGTTCACGGTAAACGTGATTATTCCATTTGTATTGTTTTATGTAATGTGTACGTTGACAGTATACACAAATCTTTACCAAATATCTGTACTAGATCCGTATCAAATAAACTACAGATTGTAAGTTTCCGTACCAGAGATTATCTCGGATCCCAGTGACCACGGAGACTCACAAGTCTATATACAAAATCACATTTGAAAAATGGAATTACTTCCGTGAATTGAACTTATCAAAACATCATTTTATAAGAGATAATTAGGGCCTTGTAGTGAAAAACAACCAAAAACAACAAAAACTATTCAAACCTATGACACTTCAATGGTTAATTTTACAACAAAACCTCATAGGAACGTTTTTGTAGGAAATGTCTAGGGACCAACCATAAATTACGAAACGCAAATTTGGCGTATTTTGAATACTCCCAGTAACGCATTTGTAACACACATTGAAAACCCATCTAATTACGTAACTCTTGCTATATAGCTCTCCAATGCAATAAATAAAAAATTCCAAAGCAGAAACAATGAGTTACATTAATTGTGTTTGTGTTATATATTTAAATTAATGACAATGAAAGTTAGAAATAGTTGGCGATGTGGATTGCACATAAGATTCAGGACAATTTTTTAATGAAGGAGGCGTACGCGAGAAAATTTCGGACAAGCCGTTCATATGCCGACGTCACTGATGCATGGGCCCTGTGTCAGTTGCACTAATTTAATTGGATTTTAGAATATACCATAGATACGTTTTGAATACTTTTTTTGTTATTAACATATTCAATCAATAGTATCTTTGAATAAATATTTACCCTTGTAACAATTTATACATCATAACGTTTTAATTTATTGTATTCTTAATTTAGTGTGTTAATATTTTAGTATAAGAGGAATACAGGATTTTTTTTCAATAGGGTCGAAAAAAATGTAAAAAGAAATGTCAGCATTATGTAACATTAAACTACGACCCCTCCTACCTCTATGTAACGCAGCGTAACGCTGCTTCAACCCTCCTACCCCTCTTCTGCGTTACGTAATTAATAGACGACACCCTACTTCAATGTATAGAATATAATCTCCGGTGGGATTGATAGTTATAGAGATATGTGCAAAAACGTCGAAAAACATCTTAACAGGACCGCTCCACCCCAGCTCAGCCCCCACACTTCCGGATTTTTAGTATGTTATGCAGTAGGTAGCAATAAACAATCATGCAAATTTTCAAAACTTCAGGCTTTTTTTCATCGATTGCCATTTTTCGGTCCAATTTGACTGGGCTAATATGCATATACTTGCGAGTTGTGTGATTTGAAATAGGTCGTTGTACATTCAGATTATGAATTGGAGAATTATATTTGACACTTTCAATTGTCATTGTTGATCAGTCAAATCTATATGCATTTATCAATTACACATGACCTTGCAACCATAGGACAGGAGCAGCCCATAACACAGGAACACAGTGACAGAAAAGGTGTCAGACCCAAAGACTTGACTAATGCTTGTCTACGTATTTCGACGCGCTGAATCCGCAACTAATGTTAGAATTGCGCCACCGCCCTCCAGTATAATTTCCCTATATTTCAACTAACCCACCTACACCCAAACTTACCACCTTCAACAGCAGCACGCATGAACCGTAAGCGGGTTATCAAGATTTTGCCCGTGAAGTGAGCTTAAAAATCTAGGGAGCAGGATCTTCAGGGTGCGAGAAAGGTTTGAACCCTTGACACAATAAAATCACACAGATTGCACACAAACAAGCGTATAATTTACCCATAAACTTTTAGTGGCATAAGTTCATGACAAAAACCAAGAATATAGAATCACACTTTTACAAAGAATGATCAAAACACAAATAGAAACCTTTACAACACACACTCATATGAATGAACACATATAATTTACACAACATTGATACTCTGAAATAATTACCCTAATCTACACTGGGAATTCCCTTGGAAAATTAATTATATCTAAATTTATGCTATTCCAATTACATTGCACATCAAACCAAAATTTCAATTTACAATCTCCTGCTTCAAAATATTACATGCAAAGAACAAAATGTGTGCAAGTGCACTACTCCCATTTACAATTTAACTGTGTCTGAAAATAGCAGAATAATAAATGTCCTAAGTAGAATATTTTATGCAGGCAATAACGCATCAAAATGTCTCCTACTATAATACTGCAATTCGTTGCCACCCATGTCCTCAATTTCTTAACACTTTCCTATAATAGTTTTCCCTACCGACGTGAACTTGATCTACTTTCCGCGCCCTAACCGTTACCTCGTGGACTTCCCACTTTTGGCTTTGATGGTCGTGCGCTGGTCTCTGCGTCGACGTCACTCGGTCCCAGGTTCTGCGTCGTAAGAAACGGGATTCGCTTCTGCCGTCTACGCTGTCTTTTTGCGTCCTCTTCCGTTCTTCTTCCTAGTCGGCCTCTTCTTCTTCCTCGACTGCTACCGGCTCCTCTGACTACGCCCACGTTGCGAAAATGTCCCTTGCACTTCACCGAATACTCGTGCAAGTTCCTCGCTCGTTGCTACTCCTACTTTTCTAAACCAGAACTTTCAATGCTTCTCTCACAACGGGTAACTTTTACTTCCCGTGTCGTTAATTGAAGAAATACTTTACTGAATCTGCACTATCTCGCGGTCGACTGACTAGAACGTCTGTTCGACGCCGAATACTCCTACCTAGTAGTTGTTGCAACGGCAAAACAATATCTAAACTAATGTTAACGAAAGTGTTGGCTCGGCGAGCGGTGATCAAAATGCTGCTAGCTCGGCGATCGGGAATCCAAAAAGAAGAGATGCTTACTCGACGAGTGGTGGCAAGAAAAGAGAGCTTCCGCTTGCGGGTTCGCGTATTTATCGTCCGACGCCTCAGGAAATTCGCAGTGGTGGGGCTGCTTCCCCTCTCTCAACCCTTCACAAGGAAAACGTTGCTTGCAAGTTCGCCTTTGTTTAGTACGTGCAGCGGATACTAGGCCGTGCGTTTATGAACCTTTGCTTTCCGCGCCTGCTATCCTCGCTGCCTCCGTAGTGTTCACACAATGTGTCGTAATACATACTGAAACGTGTGTCAAGTCTTTGGGTCTGACAATAACCCCCGAAAACAAAACAAATACAATTTCACTATTGTTTTTTGCAACCCCTCCCCCCCAAAACAATAATAAAAGGGAGGGGGTGGCGCAATTCTAGCTTCAGTTCCGGAATCGGCACATCAAAATACATAGAGAAACATGTCAAGTCTTTCGATCTGACAACTTTTTTGATTTTGTGTGCCTATGTAATCAATGGCTATCACCAAGACTTGTCAATCTTTTCAGATATTCATAAAATAAAAGTGACTACATTAATGAGTGGCCAAGAAATTTGAGAACCAACTACAGCATAGTTTTGGAATTTATTCAACAGTATACTGTAACATTGATAAATGTAATGATGTTACAATGATTCGCTGCTTGTTTGAATGTTTTGCAATTGTTTAAAAAACTTACATTGAAAATAATCATTAGTGTAATATTTTGTAATTAATAATTAAAATAATTTGTAATATTTTGTAAATAATAATTAAAATAATTTGTAATAATTTTAAGGTGTTGATTTATACATTAATTTTTGCATATATTTATAATTTATGTATTTTACAGTTTTTTCCTACAGTTATTCAATGTATTGCGATATTTGCAATGATTGTACAATTATTTGTAAATAAGAAAATAAAATGCACAAATATAACATAAACAAACTGCACAAAAACATAAAAAAAAAAAAAAAAAACCTTCTCAAAATATACTGCACAAATTAATGCACATCCCAGAATTTAAAATAATATTCCAAGCCCCACAAAACCAATAGAACCAACAGTTACAATAGGGTGGTTTAATCCATAACATAGAATTCTGAATAATCTCAATAGTGTTTTTTATTTTTATTATTACTATAAATATTCAATACTATGTTATTAAATATGTTGTTTGTTTTTTTTGTCGAAAATCACATTTTCATCACGAAGACTCACTGAATATCTTTGGAGGCAGTAACATTAAACAAAGTTTTTTCATGAAGTGTTAACGCACATTCATTTTGTTTTAAAAAGAAATATAACATAGATAAGTTAATTTCACTAGCATCCTTAAAACTACCAAATTATGCAGCATATCACATACTGATGAAAAATATATCTGGAGGATTTACTTACCCAAATGGTAGTAGATGCCATCTTGTCTTCAGGAAGTTTTCGCACATAGAATCCTTGCATTAGTGCCATTGTCAAGCCAATAACAAAAAACATCCAACCTTGTTGCATTGACGTATAGTTGAACTTATGATGCGTTAAGAAAGTAAGAGTAAATTCCATGCCAGAATACAAGAAGAGGTAGATAAAATAAACATAACCCAGCCAACGAAGGCTATTCTGATCTGGAACAAATTTTAATTGTAACAAAAACACATACAAAGAATAGATATTTATGGCAAACATTGTAATTACAATGAAAAAACAAGGTTCACTAATTTATTAAATGGAGTGATAATACAAAATTTGAACAAGAAAGTGAGTGAATTAAGAAGAAGTTATAAAAATGATGAAAGGAAAAAAACCCAGCCAAAAACATTTTCCCCAAATGTATTCATACGCTTCATATGCTTACTTCTTTCATCTCTGGTAGATCCAAAAGAATCAACATGATATTTCTAAGCAAAAAGACTACATGATTTTTCATTCAGAATAATATAAAAGAAAATGTTTTCAAAACATTTCTTAATTTCAATAAAAAGATAAAGTGGTCAAAAGTATAAATTTTGTTTTTAATTAATTTTAAATTGTTTTCCAATGCTCGCTTTCTGTAAGTCAACCAAGTCACAGTAGCCACTCTTCAAGCAAAATTGTGAACAGACAGTTGTAATATAAACCAAAACCCTATAAAGTTATTCTGTTGCAAGATAAAAAGTTGAAAATTGTTAGACAAATGAATAGCTACAGTGTATTGCAATTGAATACTGGAAATGGGAAATGAAAGTGCCAAAAGTATGTTTTCGCAGATTTCTCAAAGAAATTGCTGAATGTACCATCACAAATAACAGAAAATGTTTAAAGTACCACAAATGTTTACTAGTAGTTAAAAATTCCTCCAACAGATGACAATGCGTAAGAATCTTTAGTACTGGCAAGAAGAACACAGAATGTAACAAGCATGGCTTAGAGAAGAGGTAAAAGAATTTTAGTGTATGATAGAACTAGAAACTATGATCACTATCATTAGAGCTTAAAACCCTTTCAAGGTAGTGGTAACGGTTTAAGGAGCTTTAATAGATATGATTTCCTTGGCAACACACACATTTTAACACCAACAAACTGCTGATAACAAAAGCTTCAGCAATATGTTTCAGTTCAATGAATGAAGGCAAGCTTCTACTTAAAAAACTTCATTCCATGATAAAGAGTGGACCAAGTTTGTTGTGTTGAAAAAGCAACTAAAACTACATAATCTTCCCTCCAAAGAAATATTCCATGCCTTCCATTTACAAACAAATTAAGTGCTGAATAAAGGACTTACTCCATGGTCCAATTTCTTGATGAGAAATACAAGAGACTTTGTTTCACTCTGTCAGTGATTGAAAACACAGTGATATTATTTGGCAATAAACATATTAACAATAACTTTCACAATATTTCACAATATCTGATGTTCAATACCCTATCCTGAATTGCTGCTCTGAAACAAATAAGTTCACGGTTTACACATTCAGTCTTTTCTTGGATATGAATGAAAGCCCTCATCTTTTCGAAAATATCTATTTTCAAATGCTTATGTTTATAATATATTTATTATTACAAAATTACAATAATTTTGAAATTTGTTTCCATGAGGTGGTTCTAATGGTATGAAACTATCAAAATTTTCATTGCACAGAGAACAATTATTTGTCATATGAATTTGTTATTTTTTTTTGTTTCCTGAAATAGTTAAGTTGAGCACTTTCAGTGTTTCCCATTTCCAATCCCCAACATTTCACTAATTATTAACGAAATTTAAAAAATTATTAAAAAAATTAAAGAAAAGAAAATAAATATTTGTAAGCAAAGAGAAACACATAAAAAGCCACACTCCATTTCCAAATAAACCATTAATTAAAAAACAACTACATGAAGAAAAATCCCTTAAAAATCAAAGATATAAAGGTAAATAAAAAGCAAACTACACTAAACATGCATGCAAATAGAAATTAATTTATATCATGCAACAAAATGCAAGAAGAGAAGCAAAGGACAGTTATGTAATAGTTATGGAATGAAAGAACTAGAAACTAGACGGGAAAATACGATAAGGAGAATTAGAAAAATTCACATCAGTCAAGAATAAGGATAAAAAAGAACTACAAGGTTGCTTAAAAAGTTCACAAACATGGCCATTAAATATACTAAACTGAAAACTTACAAGCGCAACCTCTAGAGAGTTGTTTATATATTATGAAATATCATCACTATATAATAATTCTTATTTCTAATTCAAGAATACAAAGTTTTATACACTGTACACTTTCTAAGAGCAAATGTGACTCTGTACTGTACTATGGAACTCTCTTCTCTTCTCTCATTAATTTCTTATCTTTAAAACAAATTTTGGTATTAACATTTAAGGAGTCAATAAAACAACTTGTGTCAACATCTAATGTACTAAGAAAACAGTAACAGATTTCTAACACACAGATTTCGTGAGATAACCAACTGTAGAAACACGGACTCAGAGAGGATCTGATCAAGGGTTAAAAAAGAATGAAATATTGGTCACAAAATATGTGGACATGCAATCATACACATTTTCCTTCAAGTGTTTATTTAATAATATCAAGTAATCATTCATCTTATACAAATCACCACTTGCTTTTAATTGTTTGCATTATAAAATTAATAAACATGTAAAAAGTAGGCAAAAACTTTTACAATAAAGTAACTTAAACATTTAGTGCTTTAAGAAGACGCTAAATAGGTATTAAAAGGATAATTTGTATTGTATTTTACTTTTCTACAAGACAAAGGTTCATTAAAATTTCTATTGAAATTTCAATTAAAGGAAAAGACTCAACCAACCAACATATTTCATAACCCCTCCCCTCAATTAATTCAAAATTGTTGATGGTACTAATAATCTTTTATTTGACACTATCACAAATAGGAAAGAGAAATCAGCAAATAATAAACCAAAAATAAAATACAATTTCATTTTTTTATTCATGGCAAAAATTTAAGATTTTATTAATCGAAATACAAAGGCTTTCACTAGTAAGGTTAAACATACTCCCTTTCCACAATCATGCGAAATGTGCAAGCATTAATAATTACCATACAAACAATTACTGACTGTTTATTGCACTTATCTCCTCTCATATCCCATTACACACATTTTTTAATGTTTTCTAAGGAAATTTCTACCCATTTTCGATACTTGTAACCATTTTTTCATATTGTTATAAGATTCATAAAATTTTGAATATTGGTCTCAACTATAATTTGTGAGAAAATATTATATGAAACAACAAATAATACCCTTCTATGTGATTTCCAGCAATGGGCTCTTACTGTTGTCTTACTTGCCTGTAGCCTTTTACATCTTTATTTTGCACTCTTTTGAAATTTTTGACGCATGAATACATTAACAAAAATAAACATCTTATAGTATGATTCACGTGCCTATTTTTTTTTCTATTTGTGTGCATGCGAAATGTTTGAATAAAAAAATTTTTTTAAAAATAAAATCAGGAATAACAGCAATTCAAAATAATTTTCAGATCATAAAATGTAACCAGAACCACACATATTCTGTGTACATCTACCTCCACACAAACACACACACACACCCACACACAAAATCCCAAAACTAAAAACTAATAACAAGCAAAAGTAAAAGAAATTAATACAAATATCAAACTTACACAACATTAACTAGTGTTCTGAATCAATATAACTTATAAAAAGTTATATTTCCTTCAAAGTAAATATTTTAATGATTGACTGATTGATAACAGTTTTACAAGTTTAATTAAAGCACCAGAAAATTAATATTTATAGTTAAAATTAGAACTAGTATTGTTCTATAAAATAATATGTTGCAAGCTTCATAACAATTATATAATAGTTATGGCTTACAGTTATGCACCTGTAAAGAGTAATCAATGCAAAGATTTAGATTAATTATATATACACGCACAACTAAAGTTCTAATAAAATGTTTCTAGTATGACCACAATCGGAGAATATATTTACAAATAACAGATACAAAATTCACCGAGGTTACCAAATATTTGATAAGCTTAAATTCATATTTTCAAAAGCCCTTTTATTGTAAGTGCTTTAGATATTGAAATTTCAAAGTGAAATCATGCAATTTGAACATGACATTCCCTTCAGGAATGTAAGTAAAATATTTCCTATTTTGTATATTAAAGACAATGTAACATATTAATGAATTTTGCACTTCACTTCATGAATGTTCTTTCATTACATGGTACATATTCAGATTTTGTATCCCAGAGCATATGTAACATTCATGTAACACATGGTAGTAAAACTATCAGGCATAGTTAAGTATACAAGAAAAACAAAACTGAACTTTTTTTACCTAAAGTATTGTAATATTAGAATAGAGATCCATTCAAAAATTTACAAATTATTATATAAAAATACATTGTTCAGTAATGATCTATGCAGGAAGTGGGACATCTTAAGAAAGCAAGAAGGAATTGTGACTCACCCAAGAATCCCAACTTCCTCTAAGGTGATCTGAAGATTCCTCTTGATTGGGTAGCATTACTGGTTTGATGGACACAAAATTTCCACAACACACAGTATACAGTTCCTTCAGAACCTTGTAAAAATTTCATCAGGCTAATACAAGAAGTTCACAAGTCAGATGTTTCCAAATGCAATATCTACTTAGGCCATACTACAATAAAACACGCTAAAATTATGATTAAAATAAATATATTTAAGGAACTATCTGCTTGGCACACGTTTTAAATGCAAGATATTGTTTTGTCATTATAGTTCAAAGTACAATGCTTCTTACATTCTCGGCTATCCGGGAGACGCCGCGTCGTTGGCTGGGGTGCCGACGTTTCGCAGGCTTCCTCAGGGCAGTGACTGTCACTGTGACCTGCGAAATTTCAGGCGAAACGTCGGCACCCCAGCCAACGACGCGGCGTCTCCCGGATAGCCGAGAATTCATGGATTCGAGCCGCGGAAGCTTACGTATACAATGCTTCTTACAACTACACAAAAAAATTATATGAAGAATACAGATTTTACAAACAATACTTATTTATACTCTCCTAAAATTACACAATAATAAAATATTCACAAGCAATAATAATAATAATAATAATAATAATAATAATAATAATAATAATAATAATAATATTTTTATTATCATCATCATTATTAATTTTATATACTTGTAAATAATAGCCACAAATTTGTAAATAAAGGGTGACTGGTACATAATTTTGCAGGTTTTGAGCAATTGTTTCTTTTCACACACTCCAAAGATATTTTCTTGTGTTCAATTTTTAACACTGCATATCCATTCTTGTATTAAGTCACAACACACAACTCTACAAGAAAGGTATTGTTTCAAGCTCAAACACAATAAAAGTAGAAATAAAATATCTAAGAACAGTGGCCAGAAAACAAATCACAAAAATAGACTTTTTTGTTGCTACCTTAAATTATGACAAGAAAAAATATGAAAAATTCCAGTTGTCCCTTTATCCCTTCTGAGATGTTCCTGCTCTTCACATCTTCTTTGGTTGACTTCTGTAACTCCTTTTGACCTGTATTTAGGGTCATATTAGGGAGGCTGGTTTCATACTTTAACTCTGTTTCTTTTAGCATTTAAGTGTCCTGAACAATATATGTTTCCATACTGAAAACAGAATGTCACCATCGGCAACCATGTATTTCTAGTCAGCTTTTCTCTTATTGCTTTATTATTTTGATTCTTCCAGTTATTTTCATTGATTTGATTTCTCGCTTTGGGCAGCTTCAATCCCTTACCTCTTTCTCAATATCTGTTTCAATGCAATAAAAAAGTGAGTTTGGCAATGAAATTCAAATTTTGTTTGTGTCGTGTGTTAGATGGCTTCTTGCGTCCATACATTCATTCATTTTAATTTGGAATTTCAGGAATTATTTCAAAATATTTCTTCAGAAGTGAATTTCTTTCACAAATATTTCAAATCCAATAATAAGAGAACATGCAATACAATGAATTTTGAAAATTCAACATAAGAACTTCTCTTTAATAATCAACTAGGGGATTAACAATTTCCCTTTTAATTGAAAATTTTAGGAGACACTTGCAATGAATTTAATCCTAATGCATTAGAAGACTCATCATTCTTATACAGTAGAAACTCGGTAATCTGAACTAATTGGGGGTGTAGCCTGTTTGAATTATCCGAATAAATGTACTGTACGTATACAAATACAAACATAGGATTATCAGACAATGCAACATAGCATGCAATATGAGAAAATGGGAGCATAGAGTAGTGATCGCATCATGAAGCAGATTCAATTCCTTATGTCAAAAGAAGATTAACGAGTTGTAGTGAAAAATACTGCTGCATAAACATGTGATATGCATCATAGTTACAGTGGAATAAACATTGTAAACAACTAGTGTCAATAATTAGTAGTTCAGCTTTACAGTAATTATAAAATCCTTTCTGTTCACTACAAATAAGCATTTTATGTATTTTGTTTATTTTTCCTCCATCACGAATTTGGTTTGGATTATCTAAAATTTCGCATTTGCAGGAGTTGGATTAGCGAGGTTCTACTGTAATATATTTCAATGACATTTCTCCACGAACTAACCAACTGAAACATTTATCCTCTCTGATTGTGAGGTAATGAACATATGTTTAAATCCTTAGAGAAGAAGAGAAGAAATTATTATCATAATCATAATAATATGACACTTTTCAAACGAAAAAAGAAAAATGTAAATAAACATACAAAAAAATATGAGTATTAAAAATTATAGAAAAAATATCTTGAAATAATTTATTTACTTTTTCAATTTTTAGAAATTATCACTAAACAAATAATAATTTAAACAGTATCAAAATTTGGAGGTAATCATCACTCAATTTTACTGGCAACCTCTGTATTTTCCAGAAATATTTGTAAAAAAGTAATCAACACGACATAAAATTTCTAAAACAAGAAAAACAGTTCTCAAAAGTGAGCACATGAGCCCTATGATCAATCCTCTTAGCAATTTCTTCGTATTGAGCTTCAGAGAGACTCAACTCCTCTAATACACAAAATTTACAAAAGTCTCAGCATGACACAATAAAAACCAATCTAAGCTCCTTCCTCAAAATATATTTCCTTGTGTAGATTTGATGTAGAACATACATACTGATGTAAACAATCATACTAATGACCAAACACAAGAAATATTTCACAACTTTTCTACAATTTTTTGGATACTTCAGAACCTACTATTTATAAACAATTAAAGTTCTATGCAGTTTCTGCCATATCTCTATAACTGGTTGATCTTAACAGAGATAGTTACTTCTAGAAGTGTGAGCAGAGTATTATTTACACATTTACAAATTAATATAGTAGGTTATAACAAGCCTTTAACTGGCCATAAAAAGAGTTAATAAATTGTAATAGAAAATTTGTACTACAAAAATTGAGGAAAAGAACGAAAAATTGACCACAAATTAATGTTATTCCAGACCAAAATATTTTCATTCAATCACAAAAGTAAAAAAAAAACTTATAAAATGAGTAAAGCCATCTTTGATTGTAAAATCAATGAGAAGTGAATTTCAAAAATGGTTGTCTGGCACATTTGAAGTACTGTCAAAGAGGATAATTTGGGATGTTTTGCAACTTTATTTCTTTCATTGGCTGTTTCACTTGTGTTCAGGTGTTCCAAGTTAGAAGCAGCATCAAAGTGTTCACGACAGTTTAAAGAAAATATATAATCATCTTTTGGAAGTTTTATTTGCAGGTAAGTGGTATTCAGAACAAAAATAGTTAACATAAGCTTTAACCTGAAAAACAACCATTGTAAAACTCTCCTCGTACAGTTCTTAATAAGCTATTTTCCATTTTGTGTGTAATTGCATTCTACAACCTGAACTATTCTCCAGCATCTCCAGTATTATGTTTTATCAATCCTGCCCTCTTATTTTTTTACGGACTGAAATTTCCTACGGGTGACTAGATAGAAGTTAACTGGGACTCTGTCCCCAGATACCCAATATTGCTATTTTATAGGAAAGAAAGAATAGAAATATTAAATTCAGTTTCAGATTAATGTACCAATGCAAAGAGGAATGAGAGCAAAGGAAAGGAAAAAAAGTATCAAGAATTTAACCAAGAGCGGATGGACAAAGCTCTGAATGAAGCGAGTGTTGTCCCAGGAAAAAATGTGACCCCAAGATGAGCTAAATCAAGAGTTAAAAGAATAAGAAGTCTTGAGATATAAGAAACCTGCAGGTCCTTCCAATCAGCAGAAGAAATCAATAGAAGAATCTACTGATGAACTGTCAGATGCCTACTCAGTCCGAAACACTTCTTTATTCTTATTTGCTTATGTATTATCTTTGTATAAGATATAATTAAATATATTTCTATTAGTATTTAATGATTGATTTCTTCATTTGCAAATATGCCTTTCTTTAAAATTACTTTGTCCCCCAAATAAGTCATTAATCAGGAATTTTTTTAATGACGCTTGCCATTTAATTGTAAAAATCTTTTATACTTATTTCACATTATCTAGTGTATAGATATATGTCCCAAATTAGCCTGCCTTAATATAAATGTCATTTTAAACACGATTCAAATGTGTGCCCCAAGTTAGCCAACATTGGAGGGTAACTTGGGTCACTAAATTTTGATTTTTTTATACCCAACACATCCCACATTCAAAAAAATTAGGCACATATTCCTAAAGCACTAAGACCTAAGTTTAACGGTAAAAAAAGATATCTTCCTCCAACTCAAATAGACAGGGTAAAATTTCAACCATTGAAAGTGTCCCAAGTTACCCTCCTTGATGGTATATAGTTAGGACATTACTAAATTAAACCATTAGCTTTATGTTCAGAGTTTACTGCTGAATACTTTCCACCACTTATGATATAAATTAACAGGCAAAGGAAAAACATTTCCACAACAAATTGGCATAAAAATATAAACTAAGTTGATTACCAGTATAAATCTAACTACATATAACTTACAAATCATGTGCATGTGATAGCACTGTATCACCTAATGACCCAATCATTGATAAACAAAGATGAGGAAATAAATAAAAGAGAAAATTAAAAAGAAGTAAAAGGAGGGATGGAAGAAAAAGAGGAGGAAAGGTAATGAAGGAAACAAAAAATGTAAGGATGGAAGAATTTATAAGACAAAAAACTGTTCTGATTTAGTAGTAGGTATTTCCCGAAGCTTCAAATACAATTTGGGGGCTGCACATAAGCAACATACACAGGAATACATAACTTGATGCAAATTATGCAAAAGCAATTATAATTTCAACACCACACGGGTGCATATACAATTTGAACAGTTCACAAGTACTTGATAGAAAAAATAATTCAGTAATCAAAAATGCACACTAAGACATCTACAGATTCACACTTCAATATAATCCTCTCAAACATTTCAATATATTTTCATTAGCATTAACATATGTACTCAAGCATTAACATCAATAAACAGCATAACATACGGCATTATTCATATTCTAATGTCTCGTATATATATGACTTTTGTATAGCAAGAAACTTCAATAATTCAAATCAGAATAAAGCAAAGTCACATTTCTAATAAGTAATCTGAAAGATGAGTACTATAACACCACAAGAGAAGATAAATCGCAAGTTATTAATACATGCAATAGAAAAGAAATACGATAGAAGAAACTTAAAATAAAATTCATAGAGACACACCACAATAACCTAATTTCAAATTTATAAATCACAGAAAGAAAATTTAGTAGAGAAAGAACATAAAATATTGAGTGCAAAGATCGTTAATATTATTTCTATTTTAACAGAAGACTTCATCACAAAAATATAATGCACACAATAGCCACTGAATGTGCTTTCAGTTCCTTACTTATTATTATTTGGATCTAAAAAACTTCCCTCAACCAAAGATCACTCACACCCTAAATTACAGACTTGGATATTTTTTTAACTTGATAGCATGAAACTATATTTTAAGAATTAAATATCAATAATCGATCCCAAAGAAACAAATGACCTCCACAAAATTATACTATTTTCAACAGTGCAGTTATGTACAATATTTCTAAGACTCATAAGCTTATATACTTTGAAGTATAAGGAGCTCTCTATGGAATCAAAATATTTAGGAATTGCAGGTATTTTACAATTACAGCTCTACTTTTATTTGCTAATTGCCTAAAATTTGTTAGCCAGCAGAAATTTGCAAGTTAATTTTTCAGCAAAAATTGAGTTCTTTCTTAATATATATCTATTCTTAAATTTGGATAACTGTTCCCATTATTATTTATTATATCATGAAATTAGGATGGAAACATTATCATAAGATGCCAAAATGTGACATAAAAATACTTACCTTTCTTCTGAATTTCCTTGACAGCACGGAATTGAAATAAATCGATTACATTTATATAGGCCACTGCCTGATTCAAACTAGTGATAACAGACTTTTTTCGATTTGCCTGAAATAAACAATGTACTTGATTATTTTTTTTTAAATCTTTTTGAACAATCTACTGAAATGTTTATTATGTTTCAGGAAAATTATAAGCGCAGATGGAGGGAGAGGGGAATAAAAAAAAAAAAAAATTAAGTTGATATTTAGTGTATGTACTTTTCCATGGTTCATGTCATTCCAGTTATGATGAATTTAAGATGAAGTAGACAGAATTATGATGAAATCACTCTTTAATGAATGGAGAAAAAGGAACATATGTATGTGAAATGTGAGTTTAGGAAGGGTGAAAAGACAAAGAAAGAATGATTTACTGCCCTTTAAATTGATATCAAATTCAAACTGAGCAGGCTAAATTACTCATGAGTGAATGTTCTCGATAAAATATTAATAACTTAAATTAAGTAATGTTCTGCAAGAACAATACTATCATGCCACAATAATTTCTACCACCTGAGATATGGACGTAATAGGGAAACTTTTCACAAAACTAGTTATCTATTAAGTATACATTTCTAATATACATTTTTCATAATTTTCTGAATCAAGAATCCATTGTCAAACACAGAATTCATCAATCATTTCTAAATAACTTGTAAAATGGCAAAGTTGTCCAGATTTCTTAAAACTTATTGATCAACAGTTCTTGAATTTTGGCACTGCATCACAAGAGAAAACAGTAGAGGAAGTGAAATGATCTCTATTTTTTTCCAATTTTTTTATTTCCAATAAGCCAGTGTGTTTCCATTGGTGAATTATATTGAGTGCCAACAGAACTAACCTTTCCTGAAGTTACTTCCTAGGAAATAAAGTCAAACTATGGTAGCCAAGTGTGACTTTACCCTATATCGGAGTAGAAATTGGAATTCAGTGTATAATACATAGAGTGCCTGAATAAATATTCAGTGGTTGTGTGAGCATGAGGGTGTGTGTGTGTATGGGCGCGTGTGGGTATGTGCGCATGTGTGTATGTGCGTGTGTGTGTATGTGTGTGCGTGTGTGTGTGTGTGTGTGTGTGTGTGGTGTGTGTATGTGTATGTGCGTGCGTGTGTATGTGTATGTGTGTGCGTGTGGGTGCTTATATAAGTTTGGTTCAAATAGGCCTTAATAAATAGCCATGTATCTGGAGTTTACCCTCCATTAAAGTAGTAAAAATAAATACACATAGTTGACCTACAATTGATTTTGTAAGTATAAATACAAACATTTTCATTTTAGGATTTCAAACCTATTATTCCTTTTGCCTTACCTTTGGTAATGTTTCTTTTAAAAACATTGTAACATAGAATACATCCATTACAGCCAGTCCCAAAGCAAATGAGGCTGGCACAACATACCAGTTTCCAGTTTGACCATGAGACCAATGAGCAAATGCAGCTCCAATTACTGGTCCAACAATAAAGCCCACTGAGAAAGCAACACCCACCAGAGCCTGAAAACATAATAGATGAATGTATGTTATATCAAGGTCCACAAAAGATTCATGTATGTTTTATAAATATACCTTACCATTCCACGCCCTCTAGTTTTTGGTGTTGAAACATCAGCAACAATTGCAAGCGACAAGCTCACATTTCCTTTACTAATTCCACCAATAATCCTTGCAACAACAAAAAATGCAAAGTTCTTGGATAATGCCCAAAGAACATATGAAGACGCAATACCAATCTGGAAAGCAAAAACTCAAATTTATCATGTTATGATAAAACCCCAACAAATGTATTGTGTTAGAAAAAAAATTGAATAGTCGCTACTACATCTAGAAAAACCTGATGGTACGTCATTCTAAAACATAGCAGAACACTCATAATTTGGAGTTATTGCTATTGGATCCATCCTAGATTATCAAATTGTCCTGATTTTCAAAATGAACCAATGAATGAGCCAGAATGTCTTCATTGTTCACCAAATACATACATACATACATTCATACATATAATAATAACTTGTTGCAATTTTTGTGAGGAAGAATCAAATTCAGATTATTGATGATTGGATTGAATTATTGACTCTACTGTACTAGCATCCACAGCACAGGTTGATATATTGACACCTTCTCTCTTCAAGATTTTCCTAACATTTCCTTTTTGCTCTACCCAAACTTCTTTTCCCATTAGTTTTGTAGTTGCAGAGTGTTTTTGGTATCTGATCTCCGAGGACTCATTTTTTATCATGCCAATTCCTCCTTAGTGTGACAATTTGTCTGTTAGGTTGAAGATCTTAAAGTAATCTCCGATGTCTGAGATTTTTTTTATAGTCTGATATTGAAAAGCAAGTAACTTGTTCAAAACATTTCATTACTTTTGAAGGTTTATCAGTGTTATAATGTCTCCAATTGATTTTTCACAATAGTTAGAAACAATTACAGTAGTACAAATGTGAATGATTTATTGATTCTTAAGTCCTGGGGAAAATTAACACAGTTGGCTAAAATAAAACTGAACACAAAAATATAACAAAACCATGATGTGGATAAACAAATTAACTTGATAAGAATCAGAATTTCAGTAGCAGTTCCTTACAACATACAGAGAATTAGCATTTCATGGTTACTTCAATACAAAAAGGAAAATAAATATAACAGAACACAATGGCTGCAAATACTCACAAGGCAACAAATCATTACTGGCTTACGACCATATGCATCTGAAATACCACCAATAAGGGGCGAAGCCAAAAACTGTAATAATGAAAACATGGAACCAAGAAAACCTGAAACATTAAAAAACACACGTTGGAGAAAAACGTGTAGGTCATTTCAAAGAAGTATATCATGCACGATTAATTATAGACAATCAGCTATTGTAGAACTTAAGATAAATGTTATCGACAAACTTGTTTAAAGTTCAATAATCTCATTGCAAAGGTTTTCTACCATACAACACAACTTTATTTTTTTAGAAAATTTTCTCAAAAAATTAATGCACATATATTGAAAATAATGTTTATTCAAAAAATGATATTTATTTAGTGGTGAGTAATGTTGAGCTTACAAAGTTTCGAACACAAACTAAGGAGGAAAGGTGTCTTATCTTGCAACTCTTAATCACATATTTCATATCTAGTGTTTCATAGTCATCTTAGTAAATACAACTATAGACTAATAGGAAAAAGAATTTTTGTCAAAACTACAGCAATGATACATTTTAACATAATTTGGCAAGGATATGAAAATCAAAATTTCTGTGTAAAATTATTTTTGCATTTTGCTTCTCATGTTCTGTATGTATATTTTTTCCTGTTTGTTTATCATAACTAGGGAGCAAGCTTGATTACAATTTCTAACACATCAATATTTCATATCACAAAATCTAACTTACCACCAAATAACACAGAACTAAATCTATCTGGAGTTCCAGTTAATTGCTGAAATAATTTGATTTGCTTCAGAAGCCATGGATATAGACCATCTGGGCTATCATTAAGTCTGTAATGATCAAGAATTGATGGAAAGAGAGGCAGTATCATGGTGAAAGCCAATAAATCCAATAATAATGAAATGAAAACTTGATAAACTACACCACTATTATCTGGAGATTTTGGTTTTGATTCGGAATTTCCACTCTGAAATTTGTGTTCTGAAATTCCATTCGCTTTGGCACTGTCAACAGACAGATCTTTCTGTTTCCGATTCATATTGTAATAAAAGTTAATGTCACTGTCAAAAACTAATAACTCTACAAAATTGACAGTTAATCCAACTGGCGGAGTAAACTCTCGTTGAGAAAATGTCACAGCTTGCAAGACGTTAAAAGTCGCAGGAACACATACAACAATATCTATTCAACACGTCAACTTCTGTTTCCGTGAAAGTCACCTTTCACATTAAGTGGCACACGAAGCCCGGAAGGCACCCACGTTGCCGTTATGCTATCATTTCGAGCGCCACAACCACAGCAAACTGTCAGCTGATAATTCGTCTGCTTTCAAGGTTGGTAAGACATAACAACAGAAAAATGTACGATAACCTGAACAGTTGAACTGAGCAAAAGTTCAAATTATACCGCGCGATCAGCACATCCAATATCACTCATTCTACTTAGTCATGTTTTGTTGGATATGCCGCGTTGGATAAGTCGAGCTCCTCATTTTATGTTGCACAGCAACGCAAAAGAATCGATGCTGATTTGGGGGCGGTTTTCTAATTTGGACGGCCTGCATCTCTAGTTGGAATGTTCATCTGGCTTCAGTGTACATGAGTTTTATTCTTTAAGGCGTGGCCCATATTGGTCGACAGCCAGTCAGAGCTTTTGCTGGATGGTAACTACCGATGACATTATTGACCTAAAGTGATTCCCAAAATTATTCGGACATTTAATAATTTAACTAAAAATTACTTACATTTTCCTCTGAAAAACCACATAACACTTAGTTGGCCACAAATTTCAAATAATAGAATGTTCTCATACACGTAAACATTTATATATTTTCAAAAATATGTATTTGTTTGATTAAAAGAAAAATGAATCGCTGATGCAAAGACTTGACTTCAACAAAACTATGCGGACAGCCGTTGGGGTAAGGTGGTAACAGATCTTTTGATCTCCGAAAAGTACGTTGCAACCTTCTCTATACTCTCTGGTTGCAACCTTCAACCCTTGAAGCACATTCAATGTCACCTGTCAGTCGATGATCCAGATTCGTGGGAACCTTAACAGTTAAACGAAATGAGACGCAAAGGAAAACCACCATCAGCTGGTTATTTACCTTCACACAGAGGACAAATCATGCCGAATAATTTGCAAAATGCGATTTATGAACAAATCATAGTGAGTAACATAATCACATGGTGCATCAATAAAGAGAGGATTAAACCTGGAGGACGACACCCGAAGACATTTTCTGATCGCAAAGAGAATCTCGAAGTGAGAATAATAAAAAAAAGGATCCTCGTATTAGTGCACCAAAAAATACTCCACAGTTAGAAATTGTCATTGGCATGAAAGTAAATCCCGAAACCGTGCGAAGGGCATTGAGAAGGTCCAATTTCCATAGCCGCGTTACCAGAAGAAAGTACTCTCGTACTGTGTTATTTTTATGTGTGTTTCTGTTTGAACATTACTTACTATGCATATTTGTTTATATTTGTATTCAAGTGTCCAAATAGTTTTGTGAGTTAACTTTTCAGTATAAAAATTTCAAATGTAAAAGTGTCAGTTGATTATTGTGATTTTAAAGAAACTTTCCTAAATATTTTATAACTGCTTGTGAAAGTAATCTTTACACTTTATTACACATAAATACACTTTATTACATTTATTTTCTACTTTTAACATTCCTAATACATGATTATTCTGCTAAATTTCGCGTGTCCAAATAGTTTTGTGAGTCATTGTAAGTATTTTTAAGCTGATCCTAAGGCTGGATGTTGAATTACTAATCTAGTTGTTCTACAACAGCATTATTTCTAACTTTTACATTTTTAAAAAATTCAGGGTTCAACGAATATGAGACCTGCTCTATTTTAAGCGTCCGTTGTCCTATCCGTGGGAATAAATGAAAGAACTTTGGAACGATTTTCGAGATTTTTTTTTATTTTCTCGCCGTACTTCGTAAGATGAGAAAGTATTGTAATCGTGGGTCGGAAAACGGCAATTTTCCGACCAAAAACTCTCATTACTGGGCAAAACCTCAAAAATTCGATTTTTTCCGGCGTATTCCTACAACTAAAATATTGAAGTTAGATATTTCCTTTCTTAAGAACGACTTGGATGGCCGAGGTGGCTAGAGCATGTGCCAACTCAGCGCCTCACACTGTTTCCAACTGACTAAAGCCCTGGCCGTAATTCAAAACTCAAACTTGACGCTTAGAGATTACTCCATTCAAATCTTGTGCAGATGTTATTGCTGCATCATATTCCAGCGTGACAGAGAAATTCCAAACTTATTTCCTTCTCATGTTCGACGGTGAAATTGGCATCAAAAAATACGCGAGATTGTGAAGCAAATTTCCGTCAGTAAAAACGATGTTTTTCCGTGGCTATTCGTGCTTAGGTTGGTTAATAGAAAACTATTCTACATGTTAGGAATATACATTTTCGTTTCAGTGACATTCATATTCAAGATATTGCAGCAATATTGATGTACATAAAATAATTTTGAACCAAAGAGCGCCAAAAGATGACGATGACGATCAGAATGTCACGTTTGGCGGGAAAGTGTTGGGAGGCAATCTCTGCGTGCGCGTAAGGGATTCATTCAGAATTACTACGTTTTTGGCTGAACTATGCGGTTGCCGAGGTACGTGTGTCCTATCAAATTTGTTATTTACAATGAAATTGTCCTTCTTTCAGTTTATTTAAGTTCTGGCTGCGAATTTCGACGACAAATTGGATTTTAAAAAGCGCTATTTTATCAACACACTTCAAGTCACTAACTTTTTTGTTTGAAAACTGTTCGAAGTAAATATTATCATGACCTAAGCGATGATGCTAAGGCGCTGATGAAAGTAAATGACAACGTATTTATTGAGAACTATGCCCTTTAGTGGTTTGTTTATATTGTTGCAAAAATGTGGAAAACCCACCTACGTTTACACGAAAAACATCCCTGTATGACAAACATGTTTAGACGTGTGAACTACAAATTACGAAGATGAACAGAACCTGTAACCTACTATTAACTTGAAATAACCATCTAACTCTTTTGCTTCAGAACAGAAATCTACTTTTGTCCAAGGGTGCTATAATTTTACATTCCTGGTTTTGGGGAACAGTAGGGCATAAAAAAAATAATAAAAAAAAAAGCTTACTCTGTCTCTCCTGGCCCCTTGTGCCCCAGTCTTCCATCGTGCACAACTTGGTTATCGTGAAACTACAACTTTATTTTAAAGAAAAGAGAGCATTTCACTTCGAGAAAGTGTATCTAAACAAATCGAAAACGTTTTAAAACCATTATAGGTTGAGGAACACCTCCAACGAAGTATGATCACGACGTTTTAAAAGAAAATCGACACTCATGTCGTATTTTCTCCATAAGCGCATGGCCTGTAGCAACCTGCCACTTGTCACCCAGAGGCGACGGTGCTGCCCTCCAAAAGGCACGTATTCTGGGCATCTCTGTACGCCCAGAGGGTAGGGGTCTTATCGCCGAGCGTTGCGCGGCGCCCGAGCGCAATACCAATTTTCTGTCTTCCTCTGACATTAGCTAGAACTTAATTTTATGAATTTCGCATGTTATTAAAAGTACACAAGTTCAGTCAATTATTAAAGGTATTCAATGCATTATTTATGATTTTTGGAAAAGTTGTTTCCATTTGATATTAGGTTTATTGATTCAAATTGTACCCTTGATTTGTGTAAAGTTGGCCGTTCTGGAAGGAAGGCCCTCTCTATATCTCACGGTGGATGCATATTTTCGTCTGCAGCAGTCTGCAGTTACAGTCAACAGAGGGCGCTGACGGAAACACGAGTGCGTGCGTGCGTGCGTGCGTGCGTGCGTGTGTGTGTGTGTGTGTGTGTGTGTGTGTGTGTGTGTGTGCGCGCGCGCGCGCGCGTGTGTGTGTGAAAGGATCTTTCATTCCAACAAAATATACCAGGATAGTGGAATTTTAGAAAAAAAAAAGTGTCGAAACAATAGTGCTTGTTGCAATGTGCTGGAGTCGTATTTCCAAAGCCAATTTTTTTGTTTTGTCTGAATTATATTACCATCAATTGTCTCAATGAAAAACTAATACGAAAACTTAAGTGCCCAGTGGAAATCTAAGCCAAAACCACGTGCGCGGGAGGTGTACATATTTTTAATGTCTGACACGGACACTATGCATAAAGTTATGTAAGTAATGTTTCAATATGCACTTTTATTAAACTTCTTTTTTTTAATTCGTTTCACATGAATTGATTAAGTTTTATTATATGTGTTCTGAATTTTGGAAATTACATTTCCGTCATTCGATGGAGCTGCAACCTCTAGTTTGTTGGACCACTGGTGTTTTTAACATTTTTGCTTGAATTTTTTGTGTGAATGGATTATACATCTGAAATATTTGGCAAGTTTACTTTTCTATATAGTTTGGAGAGTAAGGCGTGTGTACCGTAATCTTTTCCACGCATCTTTTTTAAATTTGTTTTTACATATTGAGGTCTACAACTTTTGTACCGCTTAGTAGCGCTCTGAAATTTAGTGTGTCTGAAAGCCACGAGTAATATATGTCAGTATGCCAAATTGCAACTGCGCATATTTGCCCCCTTTTGTTTAATCATCATTTAACTACTGGAGTGGGTAGCCGGCCTATCTCAATTCCGGCGTGCCACGTCCCGCGCAGCCTGGCCGGTGCCCGTTACATGTCACATAGCGTTCTGTTTACCTTTGATAGCTATACCTGCGTTCAAAATTACACAAACAAGGCATATAAATTAACAAATTAACAGAAAAATTTTGGAAGGGGAAATTTCCCTCATATTCCTCCCAGTGGATCCGCGCCTGTATGTAGAGTGACAAATAATTACATGTATCCATATATAACATTAATTATATATCGTTTAGTATTTAATTACGTAATCAATACAACTAAATTTTAATTATTTCGAATTTTTAAATTCTGACATCAAACTCGTAATTAGGAACTCTGAAAATCCTTGAATACAATTTCACACGAATCCACTTAATTAACTATTGGATCCGTCATATTGAAATTTTGGCACCATATTCATAATCAGCAACTAGCCTTGGGAGTCTTCTGACCACAGATCGCATGTGTGTCTAGTGTAAAGGTTAATATGTGTCCCCATGAGAGACATAGAGAGTGGTGCGGATAGCCGAAATCGGCATTTCCTGAACCTGTAAAAACCTCCAAGAAGAGCAGAGATTTTGTTCCTTAATAAAATCTGTTCCTTAAAGACATATCTTAAAATAAATTCATATTTAATTTTTCGAAAATATAGTTGTTTCCGCATATTTTTGCACGAAATATAGGTAATTTTTGAACATTTTTTCTTTAAATTTTCTGCTCGGAGGGCGATAAAAAACTGGTACTCCCATTTTCGGGAAACTATGTATTTTGGAAAATTGTAAAAGTTAACATCGCAAAAGTACAATATATAATTCTGTCGTTA